TACTGCTCTAAAAATGAATATTTCAGCCGCAGTAAAGGATCAACGTTGCGGGTTTTGGTTCTTGACATCCTTTACGATCGGTTACGATGCCTAGAGTACGGAGACCTGTACGATTTCGTCAACTTACTGAGTTTGATAGGGGCCGTATAGTGGGACTTCGGGAAGCTGGACTTTCTTTTCGGGCAATTGCAGTTAGAGTGCAAAGAAGTGTAGACACTGTGTTTAGGTGTTGTCAGGCATGGCTTCGAGAAGGCCGTACGCAAAGAGCAAGGGGCACTGGACGCCGCCGTAGAACAACAGACCGTGAAGATCGCCGCCTAAGATTATTGGCCTTAAGGGACCGTTTCTCCACTACCAGGTCCATTGCAAATGAATGGTTTGCAGAACACGGAAGACCTATTGGCATGCGAAGTGTTTACCGATGAATGAGAAGTTTTGGCTTGTTTTCATACCGGCCACACTGGGTCCTCCCTTTAACTCGAGAACACCGACGTAATTGCCTTGAGTGGTGCAGACAACGGTCACTCTGGGATCAAGAATGGAACAGTATTGTCTTTAGTGACGAGTCCCGATTTTGTTTAGGCATGCACGATGGTCGTGCCAGGGTTAGAAGGCGACGTGGTGAAAGGAGGAATCCACAGTTTTTTGTTGAAAGACATGTTCATCATACTGTTGGAGTTATGGTTTGGGGTGCTATAGCTTATGGTTCCAGGTCACCTTTAATCTTCATCAGAGGTAACATGAACGCGCAGCCTTATATCCACGAAGTTCTAGGACCCCATCTTTTACCCTATCTTGACACCCTGGCAGATCCAACATTCCAACAAGATAATGCCCGACCACATGTTGCAAGAGTCACAATAGACTTCTTTCAACATAATGATGTCACATTGTTACCATGGCCACCAAGATCTCCCGACTTATCCCCAATTGAGCACGTGTGGGATATGATGGGTAGGAGATTGCTCAATTTGCAACGTCCTCCTCAGACTCTAGAAGCACTTGGAGAGGAGTTGGTGGTTGCCTGGAATGAGATACCGCAGGAGGACATTGACCACCTGATCAGAAGCATGCCATGTTCCAAACACTTTTCACTATGAACTCGTTACAATAGAGGAAATTGAGCAAATTGCTATCATCACCAATTTTCCAGAAAACGATTAAGTACGGATGGAACTTATAGTCGATGTCAGTTAAATTTATGATCTGGTCTTTTTATGACAATTATCGTCCCATAACGTGTACTATTAAATGAGGTAATAAATACAAATGACAACTCATTTATTCTCCAACGTCCACTGTATTATTTAAAAAAGGCGTCAAGTAGGTTGACTGCACTAGCGCCGTTATCGGTTCATACATAAACTAGACCGTTTCTTTTTTTCTTATGATATTGCATATTGACATCAGCTGAGGCATACCAGAGCTCCTCGAATATTGATACACCCTGTTTCTCTTATTGACAGTAATAGATTGTTCAGCTTCAAGCCATTCAATACAATTCCCGTTCCCGCAAAAAAAAAATCGGCCTGTTCGTCAAGATACTAAGATAGCTTGTATGGCATGGCAGCTGGACTATGACTAATTAGAGCGAAACCAGATAAAAGGAACAAATTACAACGCCTCTGCTAAGTTTATCTTCATACGTATCGGAATTGCACAAAGACAATCGATAAATCACTGGCTGTTAGATAGAAAATTGTTACTGATCTGATTGAATTTACCGATAGGATTTCCACTATATAAAAAAGTATTTTTGTAAATTATCTGTTATTGCGACAAGTAGAACGTATAAGAATCTTATGCGCGCCAGAAATATTACGTAAAAAAATCAATATTATGTCAAAAAAAGAATGTCAACTGTCACTAAATAGCCGCGCCTACTCCTAATCTGCAAAGTACCTCGTGTTGGTACGAGGGATGTCTTTTAAGTTTTGCATATGGAAATAAAACAATACGGCAGGTAGTTTTAAATGACTTTGTTGTTTTTCGGAGTATTCTCCACGACTATTAATACACATCTGCATGAGCTCGAACCAATTCTCGAAGTACTTATTCCACTCGTTTGCTGGCAGATCCAAAACTGCATTTCTGAATGCGTCAACTGCTTCTTCTGGTGACTGGAACCTTTGACCACGCAGTCTGTTTTTAATTATTGGGAAAGTAAAGAAATCGTTAGGACTTAGAGCGAGACTATATAGAGGATGGTCCAATAATTCCACGTTTTCTTCCGTTAATACTGCGTTGTTTTGTGGGCTGTGTGCGAGCTTGCATTGTCTTGGTGGATGATGATTCTTCTTTCGAGGTTGATTTTTCGAATCTCGGTGATGAATTTTGGCAAATAAATGGTGGTTTACCAATCCGCAGTAACAGTTCTTTGCTCATTAAGAGGAATTGTTGGAATATGACCCGCTTTTGACACAAATGTCGCGACCATCTTTTTCGAAACACTTCGAGAACGGATGACTTTTGTTGGCTTCTCTTCACCTTGGAACACCCAAACAGCCGACTGTCGTTTATTTTCTGGTTCATAACAGTAAATTCACGATTCATCACCACTAACAATGCTGTACACATTTTTTGAGTTTGCGAAATTGAAACGGTCAAGCGTTTTTTGACACCAATTAACCCTGGCTGCTTTCTGCATTTCAGTCAACAGGTGGGGTATCCAATGAGAAACTAATATTCCTACTCCTAATTTTTCATGTAAAATTTTTTGAATTGAGGCGTTTGAGACCTTCAAGGACGCCTCAATCTCGCGATATGTCACATGTCTATCTTCAATGATGAGTTTGCGCTCAGCATCGACGTTTTCCTGGATGACTGCCGTTTTTGGTGCACCCACCCTGGGATCGACGCTAAGACTCACCCGTCCACGTTTGAATTCTCCATACCAACGGGAAATTGCCGACTGATGTGGCGTTTCGTTACCGAAAACAGACAGTAACTCAGCAAGGCATTTTTGTTGCGATAATTGTCTCTGAAAGTTGTAATAAATTATGGCGCGTCAATGTTCTCGGTTGAGTTCCTTTTATCTAATGACTTGGTGACACTTAAAAATTCACAGTAGTGAGAACACTGCACGTATTGTTGTGAAACTTTGAATTTAAGTTTACGTCAGGTTAAGATTCAGTACTGACGTTCGATCCGCGCGGCCTACTATGTTTCTGTATGCAAAACTTAAAAGACATCCCTCGTAGAAAACGTCTGCACATGTCCATCTAGTGATCGTTGGTTGTCAGAGCGGTCAGTGGGACTTCAGCTCTTGTAGGTATGCCAGGTCCGGTAATCTAGAAACCGGACAATTTTAACCCTTAAATTGGCAAAGCCATGTTTTGCAATTTTTCTGGTAACAGTGGATGTTGATATATTTACTGGCATCCCAATAAGTGATTATAAGAGAAAAATTGTGATTTTTATGGAATTTTGAACAGATATAGGATGTATCCGATAAGATACATCACCAATTTGAGTGAAGTTGTTTGCTACAATGTAATGTATGCTAAGAGATACACTGCCAATTGTTAAGTTATATAAAAGGATACAAGAAAATTATGTAAAATAATTTATTGATTGTTTATAATGGACAACATTTGCATGAAATAAGAAACCGACAACCTCTAAGCACAAATAAACGAAAACATCTTTCATAATTTAACAACAAATCCAAAGTTGACGTTCACTGGAACCTGTCAACTACTCTGATGGAATGTATAATAGCAGTTCCGATCTTTCACTAAACATAGTCTTGTGCCACACTTGGTATACGCCCAATGAGTTTCTCCCTTTTTGCATAATCGACATCTACCTTTGCTTATATACTGCGGGAAGTGATCGACTCTGTCATGTCTTACATCTATTGGTGGTCTAACTACAACTGCTTGTTTGATCCTTTGTTTTATATCTACATTCTCGTTCACTCTCGAGTCAGTTGATCTTCCTTTCATTCTCAATGATTTCGAGACATAGTATCTGAATTCTTTCAGACTGATGTTTTCCACGTTGCCCCCTGATTCTGCACACGTCAGCTTAGTTTCTCGACGGTAAAGAAGCCAAGCATTATTCATGCATAAATCTATCATTTGAGCAAAAATAGATAAATACCACCGACGAGTCTTCAGCCGAGTTCTGTAAAGTGAAACTAACATATCCATAAGGTCAACTCCACCCATGTGGCGGTTATACTGTTTTACAATACTCGGACATGGTATATCAGTTTTATCTTTTTTGTGTTTCGTATACCGTGTAGCAGTAGCTACTGGCTCTACTGAAACATAAGAGCTCACAAGAATGACTGCCTTATTGTCAAACCATTTAACGCAACTGATTTTGTTGACGTTATCATTTTTGAAGCAAAATGACCCTCGACCTCTTTTCGCCAAGGCTTTGTCGTTTTCTAATGAACAGATCCCCAGCCGATTGGATCTTATTGTGCCGAGAGATAAAATTCCGTAGTTTTGTCTCAGTATGTGCACCAATTCCAAAGACGTAAAGAAGTTGTCAAAATACACAGCCGAGTACCTAGATAGGGACTTTCATAGATTTGCATAGACTAAGAATAACTTTCGCTCCTAATCCTAAAGTATTCTCTTCGCTGGTAAACTGGTGATATTCTCTGAATGTCTTTTCTCCTCCATAGATGAGAAAATCATAGACCAATCCAGATACACCTGCTCTCACAAAGATTTTGAAGCCCCACTTTTTGGGCTTAGATTTTATATATTGCCGCTTTGACCCGGCCTTCTTCCCTTTATATGGTACCATCATTTCATCAATACTCTGTTTTTTCTCTTCTTCTACACTCATACAATTTCTTCTCACTATTTCTAAAGCTGGCCTAATTTTGAAGTAAGGATCGTCGTTCTGATTTGCGTTGTTAACAAAGTGAATGTGTCTTCTTATCTGTTGATAACGTTTTAGCGACATGATTTCCGCGATATCATTATATCTAAATTTTTGACTCCAATAATCAGTATAAGCTGGCATTTCGACTATTCCCATCAGGATTTGAATAGCCAAAAATCTTTCATTTCCTCGAGTGTGACACATATTGATTTGCCGGTTTGTTGAACTGAGTATAAATTAGTGTTGTCAACGAGCATTTGTAATAAATCATCTGAGAAGAACATCTGAAAGTATTCGTATGGCGTTTTCACTCTATCAGGCGTGGTAAAATTGTCTTCTGGAATATCTACTGAAAAAGCAAACTGTTCATTTGTCCAGCTACATTCAAGTTTTTTCTTTTTCACCTTACTCCTTTTCCTACTGACTTCGTCTTTTATCAGCTTGTCTCTAACAGCATGACTCACATTTTTTCTTTTTTTGCCCGTTTTAGAATGTGATCTGGTTTTTAGTGGTGTAATCGCAAATGAAGTTCTTGGAGTCGAAAATGCACAGAGACTTACTTTTTCTGGTGTATTCTGAACAACTGGGGTTGCTTCATCTGGAGAAGCGTCATTGGTGTTTGACAAATCCTTCATTATATCCTCCATTACTGCAACTGCTTCATCAGGAATCGATGGAGCCTCGGAAGACTCACTATTTGAGTCCCTTATCATATCAAACAGCTTTCCAGGAAATTCTTCATCTTCACTTGTGTCACTCAGATCAGAAGATGCAGGTGGTAGAAGGGCAATTATCTTGTCCTTCCGTGTTAGTGCCATAATAGAATAGTTTCTTCTGGAAAATAAACATAATCACTAGTATCTGAGCCAGAAATAAAGACATATTTTATTAATTTGAACATATGTTTAGGTTAAGTGTGTGTATAATATGATGCACACCTAGGATACTTCAATTTACGATAAGTTGGCAACGTATACTATGCGACACACAACAAACTATAAATTGCTTAAAGAGAACTTGGCACTGTAGATCATTAGATACACAACAAATAACTATCCCTTTTTTGAGGAGCTGGCAACGTAGACTACGAGATACAGTAAAATTAGATCAGCAACTCTGACCAAGTGGCTCATCATTATCATCTAAATCTAATTCTATACGATGCACCTAACATCCATGTCCTCAAAGTTACAAATTCTTTGTGAATATTTGTTTTACTTTACTAGAAAATTATGAGTACTTACCGATAATTCACGCCACTCAATGCTGTCCGCTGACAAGTTTCGGCCATTACATTATAAATCCACAAAATAAATGCCAGATGGCGCCAGAAGTACCAACTCAAGTGACTGAATGCCTAATGAAGGTATTTTCGGCAAAAAAGATTTGATATGTTGACTCGCATCGTTAACAGGGATATTTGAATATGTAGTATCGTATAAGATACAATACCAAATTAAGGGTTAAGGAAAAAATGAAAAGGAAAGGAGAGAAGGAAGGAAGAGGGCAAAGAGGAAGAAGAGAATTTTTTAGGACAGGGAGCGTTTAGGCAATGTTACAATCACTTGACACATTTTGATATGGTCTAAAAATATTTGATTTTTGTAAGGATTTTGTCAAAATGTTCCAGTTTTCGTTGTGGGGCACGCTGCCATTTTGGATTGCAATCCAAAAGCGACATAGACCGTTACCCCCGACATAACAAGGCCAAACAACTCAGCTGCGAAAAGGCTGCGACGTCACGCTATGTAGGCCAGTTCATATTCTTATGGCGTTTCGCCATGCTGGCTGGCAAGAGCCGTAGGATAGATTGAAATTCCCACAAAACCATTCTGGTTTTTTAATATCCATACATCATAAAGTTGAATATTTTTCGTTGTTCAGGAACTTAACAAACATCCACACTATATTCACAGCGATTAAGAAATACCCAAATATATGTCGTAGAGCTATCAGCAAACCTAAAAACCTGCAGAAAAACTAGAAATTTGCAATATTTTTCTTCTGAGTAGATATTCTGGGTTATATTTATATCAGACGTTATTTGAATACAGCTGATTATTGCATTTCAAGGAGTGACACATGTGTGGGCTCTGTCAACTATTGGTACCAGTCACAAAACATACTCTGAAGGTTTAATTCCATGCTATTCAATCACAACACGGTTGTGAGGGTGCGACAGGGTTGCCAGATTGTGCATTAATATCCCGTTTCACCCTCCTGGTCCCAGTGAAGTAAGTTCCGCCAACTGTTGAAATATACTCTAATATGCTTATAAGACCATTTGTGACATTTTTCCCAAAATCATTGCACAACACTTGAAAAAATGCAAATGAAAACCTAAAATTATTTCCATGACGCCGCAAAATAGCTCCGTCGGTACCTTGGGTTATACACCTTGACAGTAGGGATGTTCGATACGATCCTATATTTAGAAGTATCAATACATTTCACGAGTATCGTCATCTTTCGATCCGGACTGTGTCATAAACAGTGACTGCCATTTGGCTGCGACATTACCCCTGCCATAAATAGGAGATCTTCGGTCCTCGATACGTGTGCGAAGTTTCAAATTAATCAAACATCTGGAAATTGGTGAAAATTATGTTCAAAGATCCCGTTACATACATACAGGCCGAGCTAATAAAAGCGTGTTAATGAAAATTAATAAAAAGAAGGTCTAGAAGCGATGATGCTGGAAAAAATATTAATTTGGTATGATCGATACTACATCAAAAAGGCGGAGTGAAGGATCGTCGCCACCACGAACCTACACTAATAAATACTGCCTAAAGGTATGAATAAGCTAATTGAAGACCGATTTTGATCTGAATGACAAACAGTCGTAGTACCGGTACCAATCGACCCGGTAAGACAGGTACGACGAATAGAGATATGCGGCATGCGGCGGCGAGTCCGAAACTTCCGTCGGCGTTGCTGCAGCGTTGGCGAACTGCCTTAAATTACGATGATTATCGCGTAAGTATAGAGTAGGAATAACTCGGTCGACTACCGTCATCCGAACAGGCGATGCATCGGACGATGCCCGTTGGCTGGTGTCTCTTATAATACAAGAATAAAGGCTTGAAACCGTCAATACGTGTTTTATATTCATGCGAACTTGATTATTGCATACATTAACCAACTTCGGAGGACTGCATTTATTTAACTTGAGTGCCCCGTTCCTACAACTGTAACGCCTTTTTCATAGTTTTTCCTGTCCAGAAAGGCAGCGGTATTTCCAGATTTCTAGTGTTCCGGGTCAGTGCTCTATTTTGTCACAAATATGTATTTATGTTTCATATGCCTGAAATTTCCTACACTTCAAAGAGAAAACATAACCTGACAATAGGAGAGCGCTGACGCTGACTCAAAACAGAAGAAATCTAGAAACACCCTAACCTTTTTGAAGAAGAGACTATGAAAATCAAGGAGGCCATAAAGGCGTCCTACTTTTCTAGGAACGACTGACGATACGGCCCTTAGACACTGAGGCTGGATAGGATCTGTTAGGTTTCCCTCTAAGTGAACGTAATCAACCGTATACAACGTTGTTTCATGCCGTTTAGTTTTACGGTTTAGGTCTAGTAATGAAGAAGAAAGACAACGGAAAGCAAACAATCAAAATAGGTACTACCGAAAAACTCAGGTTGTAACGTGTAAGAGGTAGCATTGCCACCTACAAATGGGTGTTGCCGACCTCTGTCTGGGTAACAGGTAACTATACGTAGTTCCACATTATCTCTGATTGACCTTCAAATGAATCGAACGAGTGCCGCGAACCACATAGCCTAAACAGCACCGTACGTACATTTTAGGAGCACATTACGACACTTTGTGCGGAGACCTAAACCGGACGTCTAATGTCCAACAATTTGGGCACGTGTTAAATAATGGCAAGTAGACCGCTTCTACATTCAGCCAGAATCATCAGCCATCTAGCGGCACGGCTGTTAAACGGCAACTGAGATCCATGACAGTTCCGATTAACAGCAACTATGGTGCTATAGATGGCGCTTCGTGCTGATTTGAGAACGTCTTTATACATGTACTTTTAAGGCATCTTATATGTACGTACTTTCAAGTTTCACTAATATACCAAATGCACTATTTCCTTGCATGCATGGGGCCTCAATATTGTGGAGATACAGCTTAGGTTAATTAGGAAAAAGCTGCATTCCTTGGGGCGTATTAACATGCCGTTGAGAAACTTTCATGGCTCACTGACGTATTTGGGAGGAACTAAAATCTTTTTGCGACTATTTTAAGAAATATCATAAAGCTAATGGAACTTTTTCATGGGCACTTTTAGGCACTACATATCTCTAACTTTTGTGAACGACGTTTCGTTCTTAGGCAACCATCATCAGCTTTATTTTTTATATACTCCGACAAAAAAGTACACCCTGTATCTGATACTACCTTTATCTACGAATTCAATGATGTATCACAGATAACATTTGTTTTCTTAGGTATAAAGGAAAATGTGTTTTTACCGCTCTGCAATTGGTGAGTGGTAATTACCTATAGCTTATGAAGAGTAATTCACAGATCCTTTTATGCAGCTGTCATTTGACAACAAACGTATTACTTGTTATACACCATTCAACAGAGAATTTTACGTAGAACAAGATTTCTATAAAAGGTCTTATTTAAAATCTATCAAAAATCTTGTATTGAAGATGTGGATTCCTGATTTTTATTTTCAAATAAGTTTACTAATGTGAAAAACACATAAATACGAGCTTTTATTTACTTAGCCCGTTTTAATATGACCGATTTTAGGTTATTCACAAATTCCTTTATAGCGCCTCCATTTTGAAACGAAAATGTCACTTGTGACATCGTTGGGAAGGGATTTCCAATTAAAAACGAAAGTCAAGGTTAAATCGGAAGGCAGAGATAACCCATCCAACTTTCTAGAAATGCCTCTTAATGACCAACTAAACATGTCCCAATCTTGTAGCGTTATCTTTATTTGCCAAAAATACAGCGTTTTCAAATGTTCATTGTCACCCGGTATATGTTTTCATAAAGGCCCAAATAAATACCACCATATATGAGGTTTTTAATTTCTACCTAAGTTATTTGATGGCATAGGTGCCAGATCTCTGATAATTGTCTTAGATTGGCTATTTCCACTGAATAATTTGAAGAAATAAGTATTTTTGGAAGATTTTGATTTCGGGACCTATGAAAAAGGAGTGAGGGTAGCCTTTCTTTAATATCACATTGCCATCAGGCTCACCTCGGTAGTTGAATTTCCAGCAACATGGTAGAAAATTTGACTCCTGACATTCTCGACAGGGTACTATGTCATCTACAGGCATCGCAAGATTTTATTCCACATTTTAATTTTTGTGGATTATATATAGTTATCATGATGCCATTCATAATCAGTTCACATTTTAGTGCGCAGTTAGATACCTTTCTATAGGTAAGTAGTCCTTAATTTGGGGCAAATTTTTTATCTAGAAACTGTAACATTGGGTGGATTTTCTTTGTTGGGTGACAAACCTAGCGAGGCAATGATACTACCGACTAAGTGTAAGGTCTGTGACAAAAGGCTAAGTATAAGTTAATGGAAATTCCAAAATCAGTAAACGTTACAAGCAGCTAAGAGTGTTAAAATAATGGGTGATTTTTTTACTAGTATCTTTTTGGCAACACTGTTTTTGACAGATGACGCGTGAATCGTGTCTTGTGTCATTGTCAAACTTGTTCAGTTTGGTCTATAATTTAACCATGAATCGACTTATGAACGAACAACGCTTGCAAATTATTGAATTTTACTATCAAGGTTCATGCTCGGTTAAGA